ACTTTTTAACTAAAATGGAAGGTTCCCAAACGAGGCTTAATTAGGTGTCTCAATAGTATTGTAATTAGTAGAAGGAATAGGACTCAAGAATTTGTATTAATGGTTTGGCAAGTGGGTTTGGATAGGTTTAGGGTTATTTTAGTCACAAAAAATAAAATGATTTATTTTAGTCATAACAAATAAAATATCACATCCAATTTATAATCATTATACTTTTCTCTCACAAAAAAATTAAAAAAATTAAAAAATCAAAAAATCATTTTCAAACTAAATTTTTTAACCCCAACTAAAATAGTCAAAATAATCAAAAAAATTAAAAAATCAACTCACTTCCCAGACGAAGCCTAACTAACTAGAACAACAGACATGGTAAATTATAATTTGTGGGAAAATGTCTCGTAGCTCAAATTTTGTGGCTCAAAAGTGGCTCAAATGGCCAAAACGACGTCGTTTTGTGTGAGGGTATGATTACGTGGTGTCTGAATCAAAGGGTGGCATCGTGATCTTCTACAACCTGGCAATTACAACCGACCAGCGGGACCACGTCTCCGGCGAAGCAATCAACAAATGACAACACATTCAATTCAAAATACACTTAAGCCAAGTTTGGGAAGACTAAAAAAGTGTACTTTTTGTCTTTTTGGACTAAAAAATTGAGGTTGAAAATATGGATGTTTGGATTAACTTTTTGACTTTTTATTGAAAAATGTGTAATAAAAAATTGTAAAAATTGATTTGTAGAGAAAAATTTGAATTGGGAGTTGTGCAGCCGTAATTGTTGACTTTTGGTGAATAGTGTTAACTTTTTAACTTTTTTTTTTTATTTTAATTTAAAAAAATCAAAACCTCGTGTTAAGAAATTTAGCAAGAAAAAAGTACAGAAAAAATTACTGACATTATAAAAAAAATTATTATAGATTCATAAAAAAAAATTATAATTTTAATTATTAACGTGTATAAAATTTATCACTTATTTGTAATTTTTTTTAAAAATCTACACGGTCTCATTTGGCAACATTTAGTTTTAGCCAAAAAGGCAAAAAATTACTATAAGTATCGCTTCATTCTCTCTATTTTTCTGCACATGGTTTGATAAAAAGACAAAAATTACTAAAGTAACTTTTTCCCAAACGAAGCAATATTGAAATTCTTCGGGTAAATTATACTTTACCCTTTTTATGTTTGATCACTTTTCTACTTTGGTCCTTAAAGTTTATTTTTTTTCTCACTTTGGCCCTATATTTTTCAAGTTTTTTCCATTTTATTCCTAAAGCTAACTTTTGTTTAAAATTAAATAGAAAATATCACAATAACTGTCACATAATATAAAAATATATTATTATATTAAAATTTAAGGATAGAGGATATTGTTGTGCTCAAAGCACAGCAACTCCTGTTGGGCAGCTTTACACTGCCATTTTGGGCCAACAAAGCTTTGATTTACTTCTTGGCTGCATTTTTAAAAATAAAAATAAAAATTTGTCCCTTTGTTTTTTCATTTTAAATAGTATTTCTATGAAATTCTTTACGTCTTCACTTTAACACATTTTTTATACAATTTTTCAATACTAACAATGGTCTTTAGGGCTGCTTCTATCATTTTTTAATAAAAAATAAATAGATTTTGATTTTTGAAATAATATTACAAACTCACTGTTATCAATCCAGAATTTACTCAGAAAAATGAATTATTGGTTTAAATTCATTTTACTCATGAATCCATATTTCATCAATTTAATCTCCACCACACAAACACATTTAGGGCAAATTATGGATTGATAAGGGTGGGTTCATAGCATTTTTGTTTTTGAAATTTAGAAATAAAATTGAGTTAGCAAGTGACTATTTTATTTAAAAAGTCAAAAAAAATTACAAATATTTTTAAAATGCACAAATTCATATTTTAGTCAAAAAATCACAAAAAATCAATTCCCAAACAAGGCCTAATTTTTATAAACAATTTCATTTGTATTTATCATGGGCCATTGGGCGGTGGTTAATATTAGTATGTGCATAAAAATTAGGGAAAATTAGTCTAAGATCCCTCTCCCACTTTTAGTAATGGAAGAGATCTACGATATTATTTTATGATGTCTAAGGTCCCTCAATCTCACACTCATATATCACAGAGAAATTTAACTCCCTCAAATCAAATTAGTCCATAAAGAAGGAGCTGCGAGAGAGGATGAGGCGGTGAAGACGGTGATCATACCACACGATCCAAGCCATTCCCAGACAGTACACTAGCCGCAAAGTCTCCGCCACAGACAAACTCTAAGGCCAAATCCCCGCCGTTGCGTTAGCCCAAGACAATGGCAACCATACCACCGCCACCACCACCTGCAGGTCAGCCTCCAGACACACCTCGTCACCACCGAGAGGAAGCAGATTCAAGTCATCCTCAACTCCGTTCAACTCCCCTTCTTCTACTCCACTTTCCCTTTCTAGATCCGCGCTAGTTATGGTTCCTCCACTCTCCTCAAATCTGGCACTGTTCTCTCCATCAAGATTCATAGGGATGAGGAGAATGGGAAGATTTTGAATTTGGTGTTTGTTTGGACTGATAAGGGATCGGAGTTGAAGGTTGATATATGCGCCGGCTGTTTTCAAAGGAGAAGATGCTTGTCCTGATCTCAAGAAATGAGGTACTTTAAATAGGATAAGAACCACTTTAAAATATCTATGCCTAGCTGAACACATCCCTCCAAAATTGAGGTGGACATAAGCAATCTAGACATTGAAGATAAGGTGTTCATGCACGATATTGAGGTTTACCCATCGTTGAAGCTTTTCAGTAAATATGAGAGTGTTCCCATATGCAAAGTTGTGGCAATGACATTGGAAAACTCTGAACCTGCACTGTAGGCACCGGAGCAGCACAATGTAAGAAAGTTGCAGTTTTCAGTAGCCCAAATCAAGAATTTTCAGATAATGAAATTCGCTTAGCTGTTGTAGGGCTTTCGGACGCCCAGTGAAAATGATTATGACTTTTGTTTACAACATAATCAAATGCAGGTTTTTTTTTTTTTTTTGGTTGACGACTAGATCATTTTTGCTATTATAATAAACATGTAGGGTGGCATGAATTATTGTGAAATGTTATTGAACAATTTTAATGAGATGACTATTTTAATGGAACTCTGTAGATGCACATCTTCGACCAGGAAAATGTTGTGTTTTCTTGGCGGGATTGTCTTTCACTTTTGTGCATAACGATCACTGCTTCTGCTTTATGTAGTGAATTGAATTTCTCTAGTTTACCAGAGAAATTCTCTGATTTGAACTGAATTTTCTCTGAGTTAGTCCAGATAAATTCTCTGGTTTGAACTGAATTTTCTCTTGGTTAGTCCAGATAAATTCTCTGGTTTGGACTGAATTTTCTCTGGTTTGAACTGAATTTTCTCTGGGTTGGTCCAGAGAAATTCTCTAGTTTGGACTGAATTTTCTCTGGTTTGGATTGAATTTTCTCTGGGTTGGTCCAGAGAAATTCTCTGGTTTGGATTGAAATTTCTCTAAATTGATTTGAAGGACCTTAGACATTATAAAAATATTGGATATTCTTTATGCTATAAAATTTTAATATCAGGGACCCTAAAAAAAATCTCCTAAAAATTATATTAAAATATGTAAAAGGTATATAAAATATGAGAAATAAGAATTTTTAATAAATTAATACTATTTTTATTTTTTTTTATTAAAGGACTCATTCAAATAGAAAGCAAAAGAATTATATTGAGCTTAAAATTCTATTTTACATACTTTTGTATTCAACTAAATAAAATTATATAAGAAATTGAAATTTTATAGAAAGGAAATTTCACACCCTTCAAATAGTGTGTGCAATAAACATCTTACGTATTATTGTAGTATTATACATATTTTATGGTTAAAAAATATTATTAAAAAATATATGACATTATCACAAAATACCAATTTTTTTTCTAAGTTACAAATTATCATAATTTTATCAAAATTTTACATAATATTTATTAAAAAAAAGCGTAACATATACAACCAAAATATAAAGGAATTTCTTAGAAATATTATATAAAAAGAAAAAATAAAGGCAAAAATTTTATTTTTTTTTAATAATGCAATCAAAAAGTAAATCAAAGTTTTGTTGCCCAAAGCGGCATTGTAAAGCTGCGCAGCAGCAGCCCATCCTAGAATTTAAGTTTAGGTTAGTAGTGTAAATTATATATAATAAAATATTTTTATATTATTCAAATATTAATGTATTATTTTTTATTTAATTTTTAATAAAAATTAATTTTAAAAATAAAGTAGAAAAAATTTAAAATGTGAAAGGACAAAATAAGAAAATAAATAAATTTTAAAGGCCAAAGTAAAAATGTAGCCAAACATAAAAAAATAAAAATAAAACAAAAAAGTAAAGTGCAATTTATCCAAATTCTCTCAAAAATTTATCAGGGTGAAAAAGTTATTAGTTAGTCTTGGCTCATCTTTACGTGGTGTCTCATTAGTATTGTAATTAGTAGAAGGAATAGAACTCAAGAATTTGTATTAATGGTTTGGCGAGTGGGTTTGGATAGGTTTAGGATTATTTTAGTCATAAAAAATAAAATAGATTAGTTTAGTCCTAACAAATAAAATATTACATCCAACTCATAATCATTACGCTTTTCTTTCACAAAAAAAGTTAAAAAAGTCAAAAATCAAAAATTCCTTCCTAAATCAAGCTTTTTAACCCTAACTAAAATAGCTAAAAAAATCAAAAAATCAACCCACTTTCCAAACGAAGCTTAACTAACTAGGGAACAACAGACATGGTAAATTATAATTTGTGTGATGGTATGATTACGTGGTGTCTGAATCAAAGGGTGGCATCGTGATCTTCTACAACCTGGCAATTACAACCGACCAGCGGGACCACGTCTCCGGCTAAGCAATCAACAAATGACAACACATTCAATTCAAAATACACTTAGTCCACTCCTCAAAGTACCCTAAACTACATCGTATCTCTTCTCCACAAACAGTTCCAAAACCACACACAATTTGGCGCGTGGAACGTGAAAAAGCTTCCCATTCCTATTTCATCACTACATCACCTTCCTTTTTTCTGATGAAACCAAATTCAATCCTCAGATTTACGAATTTGAAAGCTTTCAGGAGTTGAACAGTGAATTCAATACACACCCACATATATATATATATATAGAGAGAGAGAGAGAGAGAGAGAGAGAGAGAGAAGTGAATTCAAGTATATCTTTTTCTTCAGATCAGGATCAGGATCAGGATCAGAATCAGAAACCTTAATTGGGTTTTTTTTTTTTTTGGGTTCGATGGGGTTGTGGGAAGCTTTTCTCAATTGGCTTCGGAGGTAAGTTTTTCATTCATTAAGTAATTTGATTTTGATCTTTTTGATTCATAACTTCACAGTTTGATCCCATATGAATTTTTTGGCATTGTGTGATGTATTATTAATGGGTTTTTGTGTTTGATGAAATTCTGGGTTTGTCTCCGTTTGGTCACTCAGAAGCTGTAGAAAAAGAAAATGAAAAAAAAAAAAAATTAGCTACTTTTTGAGCCATGTGGGTTAATGGGTTTGTTGATACTGATGTGTTTAACGAAGTTTTGATTGATTTGTTTTTATCACATAGAGCGGGCAGTGTTTTGGACTTTGCTTTTTATACTTTTTAATGGTTGATTCCATTCGGTTTTGGCTCTATTGATTGGTACTTGGGTTTAATTTGTTTGATACTACTATTGAAGCTAGTCAAGAGCATGACAGCAAACAATTCTAGTCCTGCCCTTGTTTTCAATTTTAATTTTTTTAATTCTTATATATGGCTAACTTTTAGGGAAATTACAATTCAGTGTAAGTTTAACAAAAAAAATTCAGATCAGTGGTAAAGGTTATAAATGTTAATAATTAAAATCTTAAACTTTTCCATGAATCTGATATTATTTTCTAGAAATACACTGAATTGTAATTTCGCCTAACTTTTAAAGTAATGGAACAAAAGTTTTGTGAACTGTGAGCTTTTGAAATTTTCTTACGGTATATAAAATTTGAGTCATTAAAGGGTGACTATTGGTTCAATGGTTAAGACTTGGTCTAATAACCTTGAGATTATGGGTTCAAGTCTTGGGACCACCACTTTGTGTATTATGTCGAAGATTAGATGTGTACTCATCTTTCCCTTTCCAAACACACATTAATGTGTATTAATTGGCCCTTGTTTTTTATATAAAATTTGAGCGATTGATATGATTTGCACGTGTTGTCAAGTTGCTACGGTAGCTTGGGCACTGCTTTACCTAGTTGGACTGCCGACGCGTGCGTAGATCCCATACTGGAGATTATAATCTAATTAAGTTATTTGCAATGGATGCATTTATAAATGCTTTAATTTAATTACATGGTTTTAAACTTTTGTAATTGATTAGCTTGATGTTAGCGTGACTCTAATTTTTTGAGATTTTTGGAAAGATTAGAACTGAGATCTAAATAGGATTGATATGATCAAATTTGAAATCATTGAATTCTATAGGATGGGAAGATGTTACAAAAGAATGATATTTATGTGTGCAAGTCATAAACACCTAAACATCACAAAATGGGAAACACACATTTTCAAGAAGAGTTTGTACCTAGATTGGGAACGTGATTTGATGGAATAAATTTTCCCTTTGAAATGAGCTTCCTAGTATTTATGGTATGATGGTTAGTTTCCAATATATTGCCATATATGCTCTAAGTTGGGAATCTCTTCAAAGGAAAAGAATTTTAGTATTTTCTATCCTATCAATCTTCTTACGCATGGTGTCATTTTTTAACTATGTTTTGAGTTAATGATACATAACTCAACGATCCTTTATCCCAATTAGTTGGGTTGGTTGCATGAATCTTTTCCTCAAATTGGCTCTATTGAAAGCCATATCCCCAGTTAAGATCAACACTCAAGATCAAGACAATCTTGTCATTTAATAGCTTAATATACATTGTTGGGCTCATTTATGAACAACTTAAATTTTTCGGACAATTGGTAATCGAACATGATATCAGAGTTTAGGTTTGAGTTGGTCTTGGGTTCAAGTTTGTTTGTTTGCGTTTGTTCCCCGTTTGTATTTTTCTTCTCTTGTTTGCATTTTTCTTTTCTTTGTATGTATGGATGTTTGCATCTTCATGTGCAAGACAAGTTTGCATGTGAGGGAAAGTATTGAATAGCTTGATATAAATTGTTGGGCTCATTTCCTAGCAGCTTATGCTTTTGGAGCAATTGGTGGTCTAACATCCATCTCAACATTTTCATTTCCATTATACTCATGTTTCGAACATATAGTTTCGTAACCATCTGACATTTTGCACTGTGTATCATAGCAAGCTTGATAGAAGTCCTATGAAACTATCCTTTTTAACTTTCCTGTTGCTGTCACTCTTGATGCACTTTCTATTTCATCCAACTTGATCTAATTTTATGAGTCTCATTCTATAAATAATTGATCGAAAATATAAAAATTGGTTACTTACGGGTATTTCTTGGCTTTAAGTTATACTCCATCTTATTTTCCATTTATTGTTCTGCTAAAATTATACTTAACATGTTATGTTTTATTCTAAAATAGTTTATATCCCATCTTTTCTTTTCTTTTTTGTTTATTCATTTATTTGGGATCTAGGTTATCTTCTCAAAAATTTTGGTTCAGTAAATAGGTTATACCATCTTTCCCTTGTTATGTGTCCGTGTGGTAACTTTGTTGGAATTATGTAATCTAGTACGAGGATTTATTGCATGTGCTATGTCAGGTTGGGTAAGAAATTACATTTGATTAAACTGCCTTGCCTCTCCACTGTACCCCCAACATTTGCTTTTTTAAACAAACCCTCTTTTCTTTTCTTTTTTCGTATTAGTGTATTATTGGACGATTGATACATCAATTGGATTTTTTTTTTTTTTTAAACTTATATATTTGTATATTGCAGCCTTTTTTTCAAGCAAGAAATGGAATTATCTTTGATAGGGCTTCAAAATGCAGGGAAAACATCGCTCGTAAATGTCATCGCAGTAAGCAAAATTCATGAAATTTTTGAGAGATTATTTTTGTTTTTGTTTATATATTGTTTGAGGCTAACTGCTGTGAAACTGTGGCTGAATCTCATTCCAAGACGGGTGGATATAGTGAAGACATGATTCCCACGGTGCGTAATCTATATCCTTGTGTGGAACTTTACCTATAAGCTAACTTTTTTTTTTTTATAATTGCTTGACTAGGCCTATCACGCCCCTACAGTTTTAAATAGAATTACATTCATTGCAGGTTGGATTTAATATGAGGAAGGTTACTAAAGGGAATGTCACAATAAAGTTGTGGGATCTTGGAGGTCAACCCCGGTTTCGCAGTATGTGGGAGAGATATTGCCGTGCAGTTTCAGCCATTGTGTATGTTTTAACCTTGTTAACTTGCTGTTTGGACTACCTTGTCTATTTGGTCTCACAATTTTCTCCTTCGCATACAATTCATTGGACCTGAATAACATAAGATGCCCAAAGATATTTTATAGGTCTCAAAGTGAATTACCATATACCAACAGTATGATTTTGTTTTGGTTTTGACCACTTGGCTTAGCTATATTTTATTTCAGTGTTCTATAACACAGTTGAACTTTCATAGCTGAGTGTAGCCTATAGGGTGATGTGCTGTAGCAGACCAGCCATTTCAATTCCCCATTCATCATATTGGGATTTCAGTTGATGTTTCTAACTATGATTGCTTTTTATGCAGTTATGTAGTGGACGCTGCGGATCAGGATAACTTGCCTGTTTCAAGAAGTGAACTTCACGACCTACTGAGTAAACCGTCATTGAGTGGTATTCCTTTGCTGGTACTTGGCAACAAGATTGACAAACCTGAAGCATTGACTAAACAAGCTTTGACCGATCAAATGTAAGTATATATATATATATATTCATGGCAATATAATTTTCCTTGCAATGTAAGGGTGGTGCTCTGTGGGTTAGCATCTTAATTCTGCCTTTTGTTCAGAGGGAAAGGATAAAAATAAAAATAAGGGCTGAAGCAAATGCCCCTTCCCACGTTGTCCTGTTTTGCAAAATAGTTTTTCTTGCACCAAATAGCACATCTTATCTTACGAAAATACAGAACCTCATCTAAATTGTGGAAAATAATTAGAATATTACCAATGGGGATTGGAAAGGCATTGGACGAAGATTTAGTGATTTATTTTGGCATTACTTTATGTTTATTGAATTTTATTATTTTATCAGGTTTTATTGCTTTATGAGGATTTAATTATGATATATTTTTTTTTTGCTAACTTCAATTTAATTAGGGTTTCTTAGGATGCTTATATATATATATGTCTATATGTTATGGTTCAGAGACTGGTAGATTTGATGAATATATTGATTATTGAGATTGAGGTATTTTTGGGCCTAATGGTAACAAAAACACATAATACACGATCCACTTGTTCTGCCTGTAATTCTTTTGGTTCCAACAATCTCAGTAAGAGAGTGTATTATTGTCATGGTGTTGAGAACATTGTTATTTTGTCCAGGGATCTCAAGTCCATTGCAGACCGGGAAGTTTGTTGCTTCATGATCTCGTGCAAGAACTCTGCCAACATTGATACGGTTATTGATTGGCTTGTAAAGCATTCGAAAGTGAAAAACTAAGTATCATTTCCCGCCATCTTTGTGGATGTCATTCTCTTGATTTATAAAAAAAGCTTGATTCTTGGGTTGGCAGGGTTCATATTGTCTGACGACTCTGACCATTTTCTTCTTTCTTTTGAATGTGTGCCTTAAATATATATATATATATATATATTTTTTTTTTGCATTTTGTTCTTTCTTTTTAGTGCTTGGCTTAAATTTTTAATGTTTTTTTGGGTAGATGTCATGGATGGTGACCCTCCACTGCTTGTTTGAATGGGAAGGTGATCTCAAATTTGTATTGATACCGATTGTATGAATAGAATTGGTTGCAATTATTTGGTGAGTGGTAAGTTTTGGCCTTTTACTAGAGTATCCAACATGCATTAAATTGGGTGAAGCAATTGCATTTTCCAATGAGTAGTTTCTTGGCATTGTTTTGATGGAGAGGATGGCTAAGCACACAAGAAAAGAGTGAGTTTATTACAAAAATTGCTGCGGTCTATCAATAATAGAGGATACATGGGTAACATATGAATATGTCTACCATAAACATAATACAACAATAATACACATGATTTGAATGAAGGAGACTCAACAACTACTATTAAGCTCTTAATGTCAGATTTTTCTGATATTAGTGAGTTGATTGGTAGCACCGGGACAAATTGAATTTTTCAACTGTAGTGGTTTGTTCTCCTGTGTAAAGGCAAAGTAATAATGTGGCGTATCATTCAATGAAATTAGCTCGATGCCTAAAGGGTTTCTGTGCGTAGATAAAAGATATTTTTAAAATTATTAAAGGTTGTTTTTTGATAAATAGATCGTGATATTTTTGTTTGTGTTTGTTCATTTTTTTAATGAGCTTTTCAAATAATAAAAAAAAAAGTAGGGAAATTTATTAGAAAGTCCTACTAGAGGAACATGTGATTCATTTGGTTTCACGTAATTACTATTTGATTCTAAAGTCCTCCATACGCGGGATTTGTTACCAACAGGTCATTTTTTAAATATTGATGGTATTTGTTTGCCAAAAATACCCTCACACGTTTGTTGGGATGTTTGGATTATATTTAGAATTTGTAATCCCACGTTTTTAGGACGGAGGAGAATCAGTACACAAAGATTTCGCAGTTTGGGGAGGGGGGGGTAGGGTTGTGTGGTTCAGTCTATCGTGTGTGGAGAACAAGAGTTGTTCCAGCCAATGTGAAGGCTCCCGACGGCGCTCTGGTACGGAACGCATTACTACTCTCATGAACATTGAACAATCGTTGTTTATGGCATATATGTTTACATTGAGTTGTTACATCGTTCGGAGTGGCGAACACACGCAACTAAAGTAAGGTCTGGGTTTCAAATGTTGCTTGCAACGCGGGATGCAATCACGGTATTTTTCAAATTTCAAAAAAATAAATAGTAGTTGGAGTGGAGTAAGACCTTTTTCCATGAGTTTGGGATGCTGAATATAGGCTATGAAGCCACTAGCACTGGAACTGTTGAAAAAAACATCATGAATGCTGCCCAATTCTTGAGCTGCTTTCACAGTGAACCCCATTACAACATCTGAAACTACGCATGCAAGTCTCCAAAGGGTTGAGTTTGGCGAGTAGGACTCTGAAGGTGTCTAAGAAGTTGTGTAAAATGGAGGCCGTCGGGAATGGTTTCGAAGCGGAAGGAGGCGGTGTTGGAGAGGGAGTAGTGGCCTTGAGATTTGAGGAGACAGTGGCTGTTGAATTCGGTGTTAACGAAGGTGGTGCGGAAGCCTTTATGGTGGAGGAGCTTTGTTAGTTTCAGCATTGGGTTGATGTGGCCTTGTGTTGGGCATGGTATGCACACCACATGAGAAGGACATGGGCACGGTGGTTTTTGTTGTGACTAAGAACTCATCTCTCTCGTGGGCATCTTGTTAAGATTCAAAAGAGCTCTTCTGAAGAATTTTTGTATGGCTAGTTATGCCAAGCATACAAATTCCACTAAATCTATTTAACCAAAAATACTTTGACTGTTGGTTTGGGTTGATTTAAACACAATCATGTTTTGAATCGCAAATTTGTTTAAACACAACTCATGGAATGTTGCTTGCAACGTGGGATTCAATCACGGTATTTTTTGAATCACAAACATGGGATGCAATCGTGGTATTTTTCAAATTTCAAACACCACATATGATAGTCGAACACATCTACAGTTTCCGTCGACTTCCTCAAATGGAATTTGTTTCCAATTTGGGGATGTACCACCCAATATGAATCTCCTATTTCGGGGTTGTGCGTGACACCCCACAAGCCACGGGTTCAACCATTATTCTTCTTCACAATTGGGGTTGTCAATCCGGGTTGGTTGGGCGGGTCACGCTGTGACGTTACTTGTTGATGACGTTTCCGAATCCCACATTTTGGGTATGTCACACAGAAACAAAAACAACAATAGTATACTTTTTGAATTAACGTGAAACACACACACCCGTATTCTCATAAATGAACACTCAATACGTTTCAAAAAAAACAATCAATGGCAAAACTGTCCATAATTAAGCAAAAGGACTACACAATTTATAAGAAAACATTTAGGACTACATGGATTATAAGATCACAAATAAGAATTATTGGTCAATCCCTCAAAAAAATATAGTAAATTGGGAAAATGAAAAAAAAAATAAAAGATTAAAATATATCAAATGAATTTCATACCACACAACTTCATAGCAATGTTTTACTCGAATTCTATGAATGTACTAATGTGATAGTGGCAATTTTTAAATTATACTTTTAAGTGAAGGATCTTTTATTTTAAAGTAAAGTAACCACACAAGTATAATTTTATTTTTAAGAGGATGTAAAGTTTCAAAAAAATGTG